GCATCATCTTGCAATAAAATGTGAAAAATAGATTGCTTTGCGTTCATAGTGTTTATTAAACTAGAATTTAACAAATCTCTTACCGTCAAATGAAAATCAGTCTATTTCTACTACTTCAGATCAGGTGTCAGTTACACATAGCTCGATGTCGAGTGATTGCTCGCAATGCGAAGGTAAATTCATATTTTTAGAATAACAGAATACAAAGCCAAGTCATTCAATCATGACACTTGCCATAAAGACATAAAAAATAATAGCTTTTTATTTCTTGACTTTTCTAATTTAACTAAACAGTTCATAAGTTCACGCTACTGATGGTCTGAATTGCTTTCATGATCCACGAAACTACTTTCCAGATTCGAAAAAAACATAAGAGACGAATTGTTCTCGTCTTTTTTTTTCTTTTTTTTTTGCTTCATTCGATGCAACTATGGTATAACATGAATAACTCAATTAAGCTTCGATTGACTTCTTCTCTTTTTTTCGCATACATATCTTAAATTGATTCGAACAGACGAATGTGACACAGGGTGGCCAGAAAAGAAAGGTGAGCGCAAAGACAGTTCTTGTAGATCCTGAATATAGCAAAGTACATTTCTATCCCAAGTCAATTAGAGTGTGATATCTCTTTCGCAGGTTGTTTGACATGTAAATTGACTTCACTGAAACAATCCAATAGTGCAAAAATACTGAGTCAAATATAGACTTAATAGGGTTACATGCGCAATGTATCAGTAAGTTACATGCATAATGCATCGTATGAACCAAATCCTCATACAGTAAACGATAATCACTTTACGTAATTTATTTGCAGATAATCCCAAGCCAAACTCAAATGAAGGTAATTTATTTTTTGATGACATTGCGATATGTAATATATTTTTATTGAAAAAATTTCAAAGATTATTATTCAATCATAGGTTGAATAAAAAAGTCAAAAATTTCAACAAAATGAAAATGACTAAGGCTTGAATCGACTGAATAAGCTAGTTTTTTTTCAGTCACTGCTTTTTTGATAGTAATAGCAAATAAATGTGACTTGATAGATTTTTAATTGTTTTCTTTTCTTACAACTGTTTGATGTATCTTTACATTGTTCCATACTCAGGATACTTTGGCTACTTCGGCATGCATTTTTATTTGATGATTTTCATTTTCAAATATAATTGAATAATTCTCGCATTGGGTTTTCACTCTGTCATAGCTTTTTTTCAGGAGACTTAAAATGTTTTTCATCGTTATATTGTTGTTTACACTCTTTCACAATTTATCACACATTTCACTAACAGCAGATATCCAGTTTAGCACTCATACAATAAACGATAAGTAAGTTTGATTTACTTGCAGATAATGTCATGACTACTCCAAAGCCAGGTAGTTGTCTTTTTTTATCAATGTCATTTTATACACATTGTTCCATTCTAACCGAGCATTTTAGCTTTGATTTTGATAATATTTTTTCAAGATATATGAATCATTCTAATTTTTTTCTTTTGTCATGACTTTTTTACAGGAGATTTGAGAAACTTACTCAGTAAGTACACAATTAAGGGTACGGTGTTGGCATCAAATCAGTTAAAGCTTCTAGTTGGTTTAGCTGTCAGGATGGTATAAGTATTAACGAAAAAAAAAAACAATGATCACAATTTTGGAACTTAAAAGGCTGTCTATAGGATGTCCAAATATTTGCTTTAGACTTGGAAACAAAAATAGAGCACACGCACGCTTTTATTGGCACGTACTAAGTATTTCAGGCTTCCTGTTGTCACGAACACGTGCCTCGCAGAAGGCAAACTAGTCTGTTATTGTTTAAATGAAATCATCGTTTTCTGCTGTATTGACTATGACTTAATAATATCACAGGTAAACCACAAAGTGCGCTTATGAAAAAGCGTGCGCAGCCAGTTCTTTTCTTCTCTCAGTCAATAGTTGGGCAGCCTATAAGTAAACGAGCGAAACGGTAAAGCGCGCTACCCTATGACGCCATTTATTTCGGTTTTCTTTCTTTCTTTTATTTTTTTTTAAGTGCGCAAGAGAGACACGGATACAGGTCACATTTACCAAGTTTTATAATTAATGTCGAAATTTGCATAAATTCCTTTCAGACTGGAAGCCAGGAAAGCCAGGAAGAAGGCCAATTGGTAAGATTGTATCATACTTACATTCATACATTCTAAAAATGTACAATGAAATGTAAGACTTAAGGAATAAAAGACGAAATTCCGTGTTTGATACTCTGATCAAAACACGCGGGATGTAGGGAGAGCACGAGAGAAGCGTAGGAAACCACGACGCGTAGCGGAGTGGTTTCCAGCTTTTCGAGTGCTCTCCCTACATCCCAAGTGGTATAGGAAAACACTGCCCGAGGTCTTGACAGTACGGAACGAGCGCAGCGAGGTCCGTACATAAAAGACCGAGGGCAGTGTTTTCCTATACGGACCGACCTATAGCCGGTAAATAACATTTGTATTTTTTTATTTGTATTTTATGCAACTTTGCTCGTAGCCTAGCTGCAGGATACCGTTGGACCGGGCAGATCGTGAAAAACCGGACCGCGCGCTAGCCAATCATAGCGCGCGAATGACTAGGATACCGGACGGCGAAAAAAAATAACATTCAGAGATCATGTTTGCGCGGATCAAGTAATGAAACATTTAGAATGGGTAAAAGTGGAAACAATTCAAAAATAATGAATTTTGATTAATACAAAACTGTGTTTTTTTTTCAGAAGAAGTAACTTGCTATAAGTGTGGGGGGAGGGCACACTACGCTAATGTGTGCCCCACGAGAAACAAATGTGAGTATTATATTTGGTACCTTTATTTGATTAGTTTGATATATATAGTGCACACGTTTTAAAAGTGTCCATGCAATATTTTCTTTTCGATCACGTGTCAACGTGATACGTTATTGAAGTTAAATTAATAATAAACATTTATAAAAACAACATTGTTTGAAAATCATTATTATTTTTATCATTTAGCTTCTAAGATGCGGTGCAATAGNGAAAAAAAAACAACAAAAATACAAAAAAAAAACATAGCAAAAAGCTAATGAACAAACATCCATTATTTCTACTTTAAACAGGCAAACTGTCTTATTAAAAAATGATCAAACCATGGTACTAATCGGCAAATGATTTCATTGTGTGTAAGATAATTTTATTACTATCAATTTCATTTCACATTATAATTTATCTAACCTATGCATCAAAGCCGGACACRTCAACCCAAAAACCATCTTTGAGAGGAAAAGGGACCGTGTAACCCCGACCAATGCTATGATGCAACCTTTGGGGTCTTAAGGTTTACAAATAATGACTCTAGTATAATATAACTAATATAACTACCATAACCTAACCTATGTTTCCTGCAAAGCACAGGATCATGACGTAATACAATAGGTAATCCGTATTTCACAAAGAGAGCTTCTAAACATAAATATTATATAATGGTTATGATTTGATAATAATAACAATAATGAAAACACTCTCAAACAATAGTTGGGCAGCCTATTTTTTCATTGGATAGGGTTTCCAATCTAACTAACTCATTTCCTTTAGGAAAAAGAAAACAATAGAGTTTAATTCCAGAACTATTACCTAGGGACTCCCTATCTCATGTAAACAGCTCCGTAATGCACTGAATGATGGAATCTATTGGTACAAAGTAAAGGCAAGATTTCCTCCAACACCCACACTATTGCCTTTAGTTTCTCAATAGAGTGATCACACCGTGCAACTGTAGAAACTAAATTAGTTGTATTTAGAAAATCATGCATGCAGTATGCAAATTAAATTAAACTGATCCAAATGAAGCATTCAATAATGTCTGGCTTCTTGCTTCTGCAGGTCCACTTTTAGTACAAATTGGTACTACTTAGATTTTGTACAATTGCGTAGTTTTTAAAAGTCACCTTATACCCTGGTTCCAGAGGTTTGATATTTTCTCTCTTTGCTTTTGTTTTTGTTGGCGCGAAGCGCCATATAGCGAAGAGAGAAAATATCAAACCTCTGGAACCAGGGTTATCACCTTTGCAAGCTTTCAGTAAAGCTTTGAACATTAATTACAAAATAATTGTGGAAAATAGTGCTAGTTGAACAAAAGAAAACAATTAAGAATTAGCATAAAATACAGCACAAAATCATATATTTTACTGGAAGAACTCTCACTGTTAGAGTGATCACACTTAATCCATTCCACTGTACAAACTAAATAGTTCTATTTAGTTATATTGAGCAAATCGTGCATGCAGTACACAAATTGAATTGAATTGATACAAATGAAGTATTCAATACCGTCTTGCTCCAAGTCCACTTTTGGTACAAATATATACTAAAAATTAGATTTTGTACAGTTGCATGCTTTAATGTGATCACTCTATGATAGCATAGTGATACACAAAGTACTTGTCAATGTATGATTACATTATATTTCTTAAGAATAGTCCAGTTTCGAAAATCTCYTTTGTGGAAGCTTAGCTTCAATCAAGCATAAGTTGTTTAATATTGTCTTCTTTATACACAGAGTTTTTGCATTACTGTAGGTTCTCTGCTGAATAAAAGAATATATTGCATGTTTTTAAGTTAAGACTGCACAAATAAGATCTCATGACTGGAGTATTACATCTTTATGATTGGACTTAAATTAGAGGTGGAGTTTCTTTTTAAGTTCTGTAAACCAGATTTTGCAAATCTTGCCACATTTTGGCTGCTGAAATTAAAAAAAAAAAAGGAAACTAAGGAATATATTTTGATATAAAATATGAAACAGCAGCTCTTTGTTATTCGAAATAAAACATGATAAGATATAGTGATACATACAATACAAAGTATTTAATTATATATGATTACATTCTTATATTTAAGAAATATAAAACGGTGCGCATGTCTCTGTCCTCTGATATAAACACGTTGGGAGTTTGAAAAACACGAGAGAAGCAAGCTTAGGAACACGAGCGTATATCAGAGGACAGAGRCACAAGCTGCCGTTTTATATTTCTTTTATAAAATTTTTCGATCGAAAAGAAAATTTTGCCGATAAGCCGTGTCTCTGTCCTCTGATATAAACACGGTCGTCCGCCAATCAGAGCGCGCGTTATATATCAAAAATTTCATAATAACCAAACATTACATGGTGTAATGATCTGAAATTTGAGATGTTCTTCTTTTCAAGTTTTGTAAACCAGATGTTGCTAATAAATGTTTTTGCATTGGCACATTTCAGCAGCTGAAATAAAAGAAAAGGAAACATGCATGAGAAGTACAACAAAAGGTTTCAAACCACTACAGTCTATTAACTATGCTAGAAGCAATCTGTTATGATAATAGCGATACACAGACATGATCACATTCTTATATCTTACCAATAATTATCTTCATGAACTTGAATTTAARGAKTTCTTTCTTTTGAAGTTTTGTAAACCAGATTTTGCAAATGATTGCACTTGGCACATTTCAGCTGCTGAAATAAAAACAAAAAAACATTAGGGAACAAAGGCATGTTTGTTATAGAATATGAAACCACCGCGGCTACATGTATTCGTGGTTTGTCATAAAATAGAACAAAATCATATAAATTATGTTTCACCCTTTTACTGCAAAATTACAATGTAAGCACTCTATCATGATAAGATATAGTGATATACAAAGTATTTAATATATGATAACATTCTTATATTTACCAAACATTACATGGTGTACATCTTTATGAACTGAAATTCAAGATGTTCTTCTTGTTAAGTTTTGTAAACCAGATTTTGCTAATAAATGTTCTTGCAGCATTTCAACTGCTGAAAACAAAAATTAAGGGAAACATGAGCATGTTTGTTAAATATACGAAACAGCTACTTAATTTTGTCATTTTTTGTCAATGTCTCCAAATTGAACTCTGTTATAAAACAGGTCATTATCTAAGGTTAACAAATTCATTAATAATTCATAAGGAAATTTTAATTCTTCATTCAATTTGACAAATTGTGTTCATTGTAAAAGTGAAAGAAAATATGGCAATGGTCAGCTTTAGATTTTGCAGGAAACTTAAAGTCAGTGCTGCTTTGGGTAATAGATTATTTCCATTGCTAAATCAACTATGGAATAGCTATCCCTGTTAGCTATATTCTTTCATTTCAACAATTTTGCAATGCACTAACCAATCATCATGCTCTGAGAAACCCTAACTTGAGATTGCAACAAAATTATTTTATAAAAGTGTTATTAAAAATTATTTCATGAATTAACTTACCTTTCAGATAAATGTTATCAACAACTTTCAGTATTCAGTATTGTTAGCAAATTGTAATGCCATGTGGTTATACTTATCAACTGCAGCTACAACTTTGCCTCATGCAAATCATCAGCTCTAAAAGCAGCTTGAATAGGTGCTAAGCAAGCTTTCTTAGTGTTATTATTATTGTGATTTAGAGTTGCCATGATGAATTAATAGCATTCAAGGCCAGCATTGTAAATGTAAATGCCTACAATCACACTACAGGTGTTTGCTTTCAGCATTAACAATACAAATTTAATGATGCCTTCTTTAACCATCAAGGCTAATAAAATAATCAGCATCCTAATTTTCATAGAACCATGCCTACAATCACACTACAGGTGTTTGCTTTCAGCATTA